TGTCAAAACTCTGCTTACCCAAACGAGTCTGGTGTATTTTCAAAATGCTACCGCACCAAATAAGCTGCCCCAAACGGACCCTAAATTAAGTGTGGCCTCATGGAAGCATTTCTGAGATTGGTGACCTTTTCGGGAAATTAACACCATTGGGGCAAAACCATCTAACTACTCTCGATAGATAAAAATTTGGGTGGTTGTTACATATGATATTAGAGCATTACATGACTCTGAAGAAGAAAACTAAGACTTGTAACGAATAAGGTGCTACGCATGATAGCCATTTCTTAAACCCAAGATGAGTCACAAAGTAAAATAAGGTGAGAAACAACTCCTAAATCTATATGGGTCACCTATAGAATCCTATGGATGGTTAAGAAAACTGATAAAGACGTCAGTTACTTAAATGAGTGAGATCGTGAAACCCCTTAAATAGAATGAAGTTGAACTCATAAACATTGAGGCACATTTTTGTGTAATGGTTGGAATTTCTCCAAAAGTTAAGCATGCTCTTATGAGAGTGTTTTTGGGACTGGTTACCACAAGGGAAGTTATACCAATGGCCATAAGACTAAGGCGGACAATATCTTGATGGATAAGAGTTGGCGTTGTTACAAAAAAGGTGCATCATACCCATTATTTATTTAGTTTGACATAATTTGTTCGTTACAAGTTGGGAAGCACAAACTGAACCAGGAATCTTCAGGAAGCTAAGCATACACACATTTCACCAAATATACTACCTAACTTTCAGCTTCCTTATGCTACCTCATAGTCTGTTCTTTAGAAGAAAAAAAAGCAAAGAGAGTGGAAAACAAGAAATATTTTCACTATTAGAGCAAAGAGAGTGGAAGACGATAAATACTGGATGTGTCACCACAAGAATCAGTTAATAAAAGATTATTCGTTAGTTACTAAATAAAATTTTGTAAAGAGTTGTGTAATTTGTTTTTTCATTTATCAATATGATTTTTTTTTATTTGTTACTTCCAAAAGAAAGAAGATTGGCTAGTGAAGTCTGGAGGATTTCGTGGGATAACGAGTTTTATAATTTTGGAGTTCTTTTCCATAAGCCTCGTTTTATAAATTTGTGTCACAAGTTTTTCGGAGTTTTATAGTTTTACACTCAATGGCAACGGCGATTTCTATTAGATAATATGTATTTGATGTTGTGGCGATTTTGAAAAGTAAACTTTTTTGCAATATTTAAAAAATTTATGATGGTTTGATGTATTTACATATTTTGGTAAGATTATTTTTTGCAACTTTATGGCCGCATTTTACCTTTTTTTTTTTTTGCAATTAGATTGATAAAGTAAAAATACTTTTGATTTGTAAATGAGAACTTTCCCATACTGTTTGTCTCAATATCATCTTCCATTGTCTTTTTGAGACATAAAGTAACATATATGTGGCAGCGGTGACCATCTTTGTTACTCCTATAGGCAATTCTTGGCATTGATGGGATATATGATAATTGGGTTTACGAGTTCTTTCTATTTTCGGGTAGGAGGAATACAAAAATAAACTACCCAATGCGTAGTTTATTGGAGTTTATTGGTGGTGTTATGCACCTTATGCCCATGGCTATTACATCTTGTGCCAGTTTTACAGGCAAGAGAAATGTGAAGTATTGATTGGCACTTAACACGAATTGTGAGCATTTAACATTAATGCTCTCAATGGTGGGTTCACATTATAAAGAAGAATATGCTTCAGGACTTGTAATTATTTTTATCATTTTTAAAATTTCAAGGCTTAAAAAATATTTTTTTTTTGTTTGAAGGATTCTTTTGATTGACTTCTCAAATTGTATTATCATATTTTTTTCATGAATGATAGTGTAAATTAATCATTGAACCCATTTTGGCAGCTTGAACGAGAGGTGAGGGAGCCTATTATAATAATTTGCTCATTTTTTTTCTATTTTCACCTGATACTTTATTTTCTTCAACTATCCAAGCATTAGTCAAACAACTAAAGACGCCTTCGTGTATTCATTGCGAGTTGCACCTTAGGGACTGTTTGTTTTCAAGATTTAGCATCATGTAGTTTTTTTAGCTACATACAATTTACCATCTTCTTAAATTTTGTTTTACTTCCCGTATTAGGCTAAATACTACATTCAGTTAGTCCGAAGAGTCGTAAAACTAAGATAATTTTTTATCACATTTCAAGATATTAATAATTAAACTCATAGATAAATGAAGATATTTCAATTTATGAGATTTGGTTAAAGAGATTTATAAATAAACAAAAAAAAAAATTGAATAATTACATAAAAGACAAAAATACCCTTAAATTCATATATCGCACCGTTAACTTTAACAGAGATTATGATTTAAGACCAATTTAGAATACCTTTTAATAGTCGGGGACTAAATTGGAGCATTTTAAAAAATTCGGGACTAAATTGGCCACTTCTTAATAGTCTGGAGACCATTTTGGGCTTTTGCTAATTTTTGACATGATATTTAGGTCACTGACTTTATTCTTTAAAAATCAATTTCCATTGTGGGAACCGACAAATCAAAAAATATCCCAAATATGAGTGAACAATAACATTTAAGACACCAGATGATTATATTATAACTTGTTATATCTTTTGGATTGTCTAATGCACCCAATATTTTTATGAGATTGATGAATCAAGTATTTAGATAGTGTACTTTAACGACAATCATTAAAACTCTACCCAAGCAAAGAATCAAATAAACCAATTATTACCTAAGTTAAAGGATTAGTAATATGATAATATCAAAATGTGCACATGTTATAATCAATAAACTTATCTATTGGCTTTATGGTGTCTTCCAAGGAATTTGAACTGGATTCTTTAAAAATCTAAACAATCCTTGATCGTATCTAATGCTTAGAGTTTTCATGGTATAGCTACATTTCATGGTATAGCTAGAGTTCATTAGAACATCAAACCATCAATGCCCCTTCAATAGATATTATGAAAAAAGATAAGTTTAGTTGAAAGCCATCTTGCCAAAGTCCTCGAACAAACAAAAGTCCAATGGCAGCATCCAGTTTTGAAACCATTTAATTTAAAAATAAATGAAGGTATCATGTGTTCTCTAGTGTTGATGAAGGTGCCATTCTCAGACAAGAAGGTTGCCCAATCATCTACCTTAGCAATAAGTTGAATGAGGCTGAACGAATATAATTGGCTTATGAAAAAGAATTTCATGTCCTTGTTCTAGTACTGAAATATTGGCGCCATGACTTTCACTTGATTTATCATGGCCACAAGGATACATCATTGTCCTTTCTGCTACATTATTGATTAATGATGGATATATTGATGAAGTTAGTATCCTTGTATTAGTAAGACCACCCTTCAAGTTCATCTTTTTTTGTGGAATGCATGTAAGTGGAATGGTAGGACAAGCCGAAGGGATAAAATTATAAATTTAAATGAATGTCGACTTTACTAGCCTTCATTAAAATATAGCAAGGATTGTAAGACAATGCCATGCATGCCAAAAAGGAAAATCTGTCAAACTATTTGGATTAATTTGTTTATGTGTTCATATTGGGATTACAAAGAAATGTTTGTAGCCACGATTGTATGTATAATGGCAGTAATAAATAGATTGTCTAAAATGACTAACTTAATTCTATACTCCAAAACTATTGATGCATCTTACGTAGACAAACCTTCTCTCAAGGGAAATAAATAGCTTAAATAAAAGACATGTCCGATTTGTTTCATATTAAAAGCTTTATGGAAACTGTTAAACATTAACCCTTAAGTTCAATTTTAATCCCTCAAAAAAAGAGAAACAGAGGCTGTAAATAACAATCTTAAAATCTATTAATGTTTGGTTGAAAAGAGATAAGAGTAATTGGGATATGCACCTTCCTACTACTGAATTTGCTTAAAATAGCTCTATATAAAAAATTATGACCAAGATATCATTTAAAATTGTGCAAGTATTGAATCCTAGAAATCCAATGCATCTAGTCTATTTACTGATGCATGCATATTCTGATTCTACTGCATAATTTGCTATGCATATACACGATTTGCATGATGAGCTTCAAAAATAGATTGAAAAATAGATTGAATCATACCATAAGAAATATTTTCATGCTGTCAATGTTAAGAGAAGTGCATAAGAGTATGACCAGTGTCACTTTATCAAATTATTCATATACATCCCAAACACTTCACGTAAACCAGATATAAGAAACACCGTGCAATGGTCTACGAACCTTTCAAAGCTAATCAAAAAGTCATTTGTAACTCTTATAATTTTAATTTGTCTCTCATATATTTATTAATCATGATGAATATTTTGAAGATATATTGTTGTATCACAAAATATTTGAACAATAATAATTGCTTATTTCCTTCTACAAAAGAAATTTCTACTAAAATTGTTGCCTTAAAAAATTTAATCATTCAATCTCAGTTAGTCTACTAGGCTAAAATTATCGATTTAGAAGAAGTAACACTTGATAAAAACTTAAAAGATTGGCTTTGAATCATATGGAAAACTTGATACCCTTTAAATGATACATAGATGACTAAAGGGGAATATCTTAACTCTCCAATGAAAAGTTCTTTGAAACTTTGAGGAGTTGAAGAAGTAGACGCGTACAAACACCCCAAAAAATCCTATTAAAGCAAAAATGCCAAAAGGCTAACCGCCACAAGTCAAACTAAGCCAAAATAGACATGAAAAGCCTCATTTACTTTAGAATCATTTATGTATAAATGTCATCAGAATTCTTCTAAAATTTTAAATTATCCTGGCGAATATTGTCCAAGCTTCATTTAATATGACATAAATTGCAGTGATTTCATGTTATCTTAAAAATATATCTTAAATTCTTAAGACTATTAGTAACATGACAGAAGCCAGTTATACAACTAGTAAATCAGGATAACGCATGGTTATATTGCAGTGCAAGAGTAGCAAATGTCAATGCCTTATGAGAAATAGTTATTAGAAAAAAAAAATGGACAGTACACTCAGATTTAGAAAAACCTTGCAGAAAGAGCATCATTGGGGGATCTTCCATCTTCCTTGTCATCAACGGTCTTTCCCGCATCCAAATTCAACTCTTCAAGCTTTGAGCAAGGTTCAAAGTCAAACCCACAATCCCTATTTATACTCAGAAAATAACTACCAAACATCAAAATTTTCTATCAATCATAAAAGATAAAGTTACTCAATATCAAACAATCTGATTTGACATATAAAAATTATAACTTCCGCATAAAATAAATACTGGAATTTATTCCGTGTAACCAAAATTAACACTTAATAAGCAACCCAAATTTTGATGGCATTTCTCCATTATGTTTTTTTTATCATCATAGCCTCTTTAAGTAGAAAAAAACTCAGAAAAGTTGTTGCTCATCAACCCACTCCGCTTAGTAGAGATATGCTACTCGGTATTACAGAATATAGGGCACACTATCTTATAATCAGAATGCCTTATAGAAATATGGCACGCAAAACTTTTGCTTCATTATCTTCTGCCTGACCCCTTCTTCGTATTCCTGTTCCCACACTGCATCCACATTTTCCCACCATTTCATCCATTCTAACTTACAAATTGGTTGAAAAAAAAAAAATGAAGTTGCCCATTTCCTTTCCAACGAATGCCACCTTCCCTTCCTCAGCCCTATCCATTGGCCTCTCTATTACCATATTCCCCTCTCATCCTCTGCTCTCAATTTGTTAGTAATGCAGTTCTCCCTTTCTTCCTCTTATTATTGGGAATAGGCAGTACTGATGGTAAATTAAAGAACTTCTACGAACATGAAAAGTGTTGGAAGGTTCATATTAATAATCTTACAGTAGACCGGCAGATATTAATTGATATATCTTTAGTAGAGTGCAACTAGCAGGCAAAATAACCAAAAATATTGATGACTGAGAGTCAGAAATGGCAGATAGGTAATCTGTTGTTCATGAGTTGCGTTTCTAACATGTGTAAAAAACTAGCCTGTGTGTTTAACCTGAAACAAAACCTAGCATTAAGAATGAATAAAACAGCAGATAATGCATAATCAGTCAGAATAGATCCACCATTAAAAAACTTAAATCAACTAAAGGCCAGTTGCACACCTCCTCCATAGATCGTATACATTCTTTCATCTACTACTATTTTTGGTACTGGAATTTTATGGCCCCTCCACCAACTTCACCCAGTAGGTAAACAACAGCATACTATGTGCTCTTGATAAGAAAGAGATGAATTTCCACAAAAATTAGGGCAAACAAAATATTTTATTTCACTAACACAAAACAGCATAATCAGAATATATAAATGATAAACTCCTACATTTCGAGAGAAGTGATCTCTCCCAAATCCTAACCCTAACACCTACATTCGTGAGGTAGGTGATCTCTCCCGAATCCTAATCCGAACATTCAAGACAACAACCACACATAACAAAACCATAGCATTTGCACCTAAAATAAGTCTTCAAATTATTTGGTGGGTTGGGCGTTTGTCTACCATTACTCCCCTCCGAATAAGACGCATTATTCTCAAGATGGAAAAGAAAAAATGATGTTGGGTCAAGTCGTATAGCTCCTACGTTGCATCATAATCTGCCAATCATTTCCATTTAATCAGAAAGTTATAGTAGCCCTCATGAGTTCGAAATAAAGTCTTGTAAACATCCTTCGGCCACATTTGCATCTGTTGGTATCCTAACTTCATGTCAATCTAGGAGAATAACACAGCCTGAACCAACTCGTCCCGTAGCTCATTAATCACTGAGATAAAAAATTTCTCATGTAAGGTTACCTTATTCACTATCTCATAATCCACACAGAAATGCCAGCTCTCTTCCTTCTTCTTCACTAGCTAGATAGGACTAAACAAAGAGCTCATAATAGATTGTATGATATTTGCCTCCAACGTCTCATATTAATATCTAGACCTCATCCATCTCTACTTGGGGGCACACTAATGAAAGAAACTCCCCATCTCAAGTAATTGCATGCCTGTGCTCCCTCCCAAGTAGTAATCCGTATGACACCTAAAAAACTTCTACAAACTATTGTCGGAGCTATTATCAGTGTTGAAATCTCCACCAACTCCATATCACGTGTCTCTTCCATGCAATAAACAGAACCATAGGCATCCTATCCTTAAAGGTAGGCATCTTCAGTTTTATTAGGCATGAGTATCGTCCCAAATTTTCTTGACCAAAACACATTCCAGTAATGAAGCGAGAGTTGAGTTCCCTTCCTCAACCTATATTGATTTTCCTTCTTTTATAAGTCTAGCTCACTTCTAAGCTTGTCTGTCCCCATAAACTCCTAAATGCCCTTTCGCCTGGAAGCCTGCTGTAGCAAAAGGCACTGGCAAAATTAGTTGCAACCCTCCATCAACGTCCCACCCACTGTGGTTTCTTGTTACAGGCTGAAATCCTTCGAAATGATCTTCTTCAGTCCTAAATCGCACCTAATTCATTTTCGACTGACACTCGTTCAATAACTCAAAGACAAGCAACTCTCTCCAAATGCTACTGCTCGAATCTGCTCCCAACTCCGTTCAATCTCTTCCATTTGTCCCAACAACCTAAATGTCATGTTGTTCCTTCCAAGTTTTTTGCTCGAGTCCGCTCCCCATTCCTTTGCTCAAACCTGCGGCTCCAAATCTACCTAAGGCAATGGTGTTGTCCTGATGTAGCATAAATCCTTCAAATTGTTTTCGCGCACATGCCCTCTAAAATTCATTGCTTAATTTGGCAGTGGTCGACAGCGGATTTGTGTGAAACTCCATGATCGTCTTCATCATTTCTTTCAAGACTATGAGTTTTCATTCTATGGATGAAACCCGCCCCTCCATGGCTGAGAAAAACTCCACTCCATATCTGATTTGGCTCCTCTCCCTCTAATTTCTCCTCTGAAGCATTTATTTTTTTGGTCGTCATTACTCCCAAGAAGGTTTTCGATCACAGAGGTGGAACTCCTTTACGTCGTAATCTCGTCGTTTGCCCTACCCAGGAAGCTCAAGTTGTGGTTGTGTTGCCAAGTTCGACTCATGTACGTGATCCTGTCATTGGCTTGTTGGCTTTCCAGCTAGGTCAAATAACAACGGCATCGCGAGGGTCGTTGTACAGTGCGATCACGTCAGCCCCCTGCTAGCTCAAATTGTGTTTGTTCTCGACTAGGAATGCACGATCCTGACATTGCTTCCTTGTACTCGTTGATATTCAATCAAGAGAGTGGTGCCCATATGTCCTGATCCTGTCAATTTTCTTAGCTCCAATCACATGATGTTCAACCATGGCCGCAAATGTATCGTGATCTCTTCCCTTTCTATAATTGAATGCTTTGATACCAATTTCATATGAAAGGGATGAGATTCCACAAAGAATATGGCAAACAAAAAATTTTATTTCACTAACACAAAACGACACTACCCGTTAATATAAATGATAAGCACCTTACGATTCAAGAGGCAGACGATCTTTCTCAAACTTTAACCCTAACATATCTCAAAAACCTTATCTCTTAGATTCAAGATAACAATCACACATAACATAACATAACCCTAACCTATTAAACCATATTTATACCCCACAATAATAACTAACAAAAGACAAAATTACCCTTTTAGCCTTGCACCTAAAAATAAGACTTCAAATTATTTGGCAAGCTAGGCACCTATATACTGACTCTCAATATGCATTTATGGTTCCAAAGCATGCATTACTATCATTAGGAACATCAATATGTCAAAAACTGAGGTGTAAGTAAAGTTATTTGTGTTCTGATTTATACTAAATAACATGTCATTCAAATGCTACCATAAGCACTCAGAATTGCTTTTCATCAAAAAATTATAAGAGTTTCATAAACTTATACCCAGAAAATAATTTAAAAGCCTCAAATACAACTACATTTAGCACAAACCCTTTTCATATTGCAACCAAAAGTTATGTCAAGACAACTAACACAAAATGTTACGCTAGATTTAAAAGCCAAAATGATCGAAACAAACCCTAGGCACAGGCTTTAAAATTGGACTTTAGAGTGCACGCTAGAAGTCACCACTAATGCAACTAGGTTCATAATAAAATCTAGCTAGCATCTTTTTTTAAAGAGCATAAAATTTGAAACATAATGAAGAATTACATTAAAATACCAAAAAGGAAAAAAGATAAATTAAATAATAATAATAGCTCAAGATAATATAGCAGAAAGATGAAAGCGTCAAAATATTTCAAAATAGCTTGTTCAGAGAGTCAAATTAGATCTCTAAAACGAAACAAAACTAGACATAAAATAAAATGCCGAACAATGTCTAAAAGAGCATAAAAAGGGTCATACCTAGACAAAAATGATAATATGATGGAGTGATGAGGTATGAAAAAAATGTGTGCAATTAAATAAAAAAATAGTAAAAAGAACTATTAAGATTTATAAGAAGCCAAGAACTTTATAAAGAGGGTAGTCAATAAAGACAACTACAAACCCCAGAAATGTAGACGATTTGTACAGTACAGCGAAATTATGGAAAGAAACTATTAAATACTAGTAAAGAAAAAGAAAGAAGATATAGAGTAAAATGAAGTTAAATATATTAAGAATGAAGAAAATTAAACTATAAATAAAAAAGAAGACATCACAGGCAGATTACAAAATTAATTTTAAACTTATTAAATAAGAGCTTTAAAGAGTTGCTCTGAGAAAATGAACAGAATAAGAAACCGTATTATAGATTGAACTACCATAAGTGAAGGCCAGATTTTGAAGAACTAAACTTTTATTTTCATATAAGATACCTAAAAAGAATTGAAGGTTTTAAATACATACTAAACAAATATTATAAACAAAGCTTGAATGTTAAGACAGTGCAAAAGAAAAAACATTTTAATACAAGTATTCAAAAATAAGGATATATTCAGAATTTTTAATTATAGTTCAAAAAAAACTAATGAAATTCTACTACTCCAATGATAGCTGAGAACTTACATGCATCAAAACTCTACATCGTTGGATTTATTTCCGTAAAACCCTCAGATTGCAATCTTTGTGCTTTCATGTGGGATCGTCGGGCCCTAGTTTTTTTCCCTCCTTTTATTCTTTGATTTATCCC